CTTAGGCAGCTGGCCATTCCTGGGGAGGTCCTTCAGGCTCATCCTGCGGCAGGGGAAGGAAGAGCCCTGCTGTGAAGGAGGGTCCAAGTTGTGATGCCCCCTTGGCTTCAGAGGACCTCACATGCACCATGATCTTCACCCCATCTGGGAAAGGTGTAGAACCATGCGGGGTGACTCCCAGCCAAAGGATTTACCTACTGTAAGTCAGTGATCTGCCAAAGGACCGGTCTGTAATTTGCTTGTGTTCTTGCATGGAGAAGGGAGAGTGAAGTCAGACAGGGAGTTAGAATATCAAACGGTGCACATGAGCTCCTGCGCCAAAATGAACAAAGGTACGGAGTATTACATGAAAGATAAATCACTCTAGAACTAGAGTATGTCATTCAGGAAACTCGCAGCAACTTCGGCATAAAGAGAAGGGGCTGCTTGAGCTTTGGGGGGCTCCAGGACTGTACGAGTGTAATTCCCTTGTCTATGAAGCACCAGCAGTGCACATATCTGGGACTAAAACTACAAGACAGAACCAGAACACAGCCAGACGAAGATGTGAGCAGCAGCCACAAGATTCTCCAAAGCCAGAACAGAAAAGTGTTCAAGCAAGCAGGGTTAATTTGGGCAGGAAGAGAAGTGCCTGAAGAGGCACTGCAGCCATTCCGCCCTTCAGTGTTTCTCCGCAACATGCAGACTATGTTCTCAGCTACATAAGCGACAGGACAAAGGAAACTTTTTACAAGTACATTTTTATTTAAAATAAAAATTAATTATGGTGCCTTTTTAAAATAGGGTACTGCACAATCTGTATATGCAACACAGTTTTTGGTACGGAACATATTTATTGAGCAATATCCTTAAATACTAAATATACATTAATGGCTTGTTTGAGAAACATGACAACATTAATTCTGGTATTGTTTTTCTCTTTAGTCATTTAACCACTGATACAGATTTCCTATAAACAATATTCGTTTTCATCTGTACATGTGGTACACAGTCAAGAAGGCAGATCTTAGAATATTTACATTCATGCATTGATTTTAACACACTATTTTGCAGTTTAAAATAATATATTTTTGTTTGTACAAGTGCAGGGAGTATTGTAAATACATATCTACCATAGGCCTGATTCTCCATTGCTTGGCATCATCTATGGTCATGACCTGGTTGGAGCAGGAGGCCCACACTCACTTCACGTGCTGTGACCATATGGCATGCAAGACTGGACAATTAGGTCTCTGTATAGATATATATCAATATATTTATATATTATACTCAGTAGAACTCTCCTCTTTCCTTCCATGTTTGTTTTTGCAGCATCTCTCCGAGGTAGAGATGCTTTCCTGGTGACACCGCTGTGATGGGTCTGAGCCAAGAAGGACAGCAGGGCTGGGGCTTCAGCTCCACGTTCCTGGCACTGCTGAGGACTGAGGCAACTCAACACTTTGCAGCTCAGGCCCTAAAGTGCATTCCCTGCTTGCATCTGCTAGTGGTGATCCTTGGGAAGGAATTTTGAGTTGATGTTCTCCCTCAGACTGAACACAGCAGCTATCTGAGTCTGTTTGGTGCTGGTCCGAGGGGTCAGAGCAGAGTTAAGTTCTGCGCAGGAAGCGGCCACTTTTCACCTTCCAGGGATCTGGTTATTTTGTGAACAGAGCTATGCAGGACCCTCCTATGCCTGATATTTTGGTGGCTAAAAATGTACTTGAAATACTTGTAAAGCTGTATTTTGGACTGCTAGTTCCCCAGATCCAGGGTCACTGCTTAGTGAAGTGACTATCCATCAAGCCTATTCCTTTCCCTTTCCACTTAATTACAGTACAACAAGGAAGCTCAGAAGCCTCTTTCATAAAAGCAAGTAGTCTGTCGGGTGTTAAACCCAACCTTAAACCACATCAGCAAACTTCAGAACTCCTCAATGACACCACATTTCTAGCCTCTCTTTTCTCCAGATTTACATCTGCTTCCAGTATACTTTTCCAGGCACCTTTCTGAAGACCACCTTAGATGTTGGTGCCATGTAGTCAACTGTACTTAGGCAGGAATCCCAAGGCAGGACTACGCTGTGCAGGATTTCCCCTCTCTCCCCGCCGTGGAGCTGTGCAAATGCTGAGAGCAAACGCTCTGGACAAGCAGAGGAGCAGCTCTCAGCCTGTCTGCTGCTGCTCTTCTGTGGCTGACAGATTAAAAAAGCGTACTGGGGAATGCTTGTTTATGAAATTGTGTCCAAATACGTTTATTTAATATCAGCATGTTGGATATAATGATAGTGTGAATCTGCCTATGCAAATAGGATACATCTATATCTCTGAAAATACTGCCACAGAGCTAGTAAGTATTTTTATCTTGATTATACAGATGGGTAAATTGAGGCACAGAGAGGCAAAATTACTTACTAGTAAACAGCAGATCAGTGGCAGAGTTGAAAGTAGATCCCAGTCCCTGCAAGCTGCTCCTTGAAATGCCCTGCCTCCCCACTCTACATGACGTTTTTAATGCTCATGTTCCACTGAGGAGACCTCTGGGGCCCAGGGTGGGTTGGCCTGTGGGTTACGTCATGCACCGGCGTTTTCTCGCAGGGAGGACAACTTACCATTGTCATCACTGAAAATCAGTGTCTGGTAACCATCTCTCTAGACTTTTTCTTGCAAAATCAGACACATTTGGATGAACGTAATGAGCTACAAATCCCTTCTGTGATTTTGGCCTAACAGAACATGCCTTTAAAGCTGCATTAGGAAATAAATAAAATCAACAACCTTTAGCAGAAAGTGCTAATCCTGAGCCGGTATCATGCCAAACTAATCTGCATTCATACTTTACACTCTCAGCTAAACATGCAACCAGTCTCAAACTATGCCACATTTAGGCAGAAACAACTGGAGTAAAAAAAGAAAGGCAAACATAGGTAACTACACCAAAATAAACGTTATAGCTTAAAAAAATATGCTAGAAATATACTTGCAATATTTTTATTATAGTATTTAGGGGCTAAGTGCTTTAGGCAATCAACATGTGGGATACAGACTCAAAGTGTAATTTCTGTAATTTTAATTCCACTTTGGATCTAAGAACATATCGCTGCGTCTTGTGCAAGCACACAACATGAATATGGCAGGGAATGATCGTGCTCTTGGGCAAAGGCTTACTTATTCCCTTTCACTTTTGTAATTCCATTCACTTCTCAATAAAGTGTGGCCTTTAAAAAATAATTTTATGTAGCTAAACTTCTACATAGTGATGACAAGCTAAAAGGCTAAATGAACAACTCCATAAATTCCTCAACAGCAGTATATAGCAGCATTTCATTTTTATCATTGAAAAGATACTTATATTTACATACACCCTATTGTTCAATAGGTAATAGAAAACTAGAGATGGGCCTGAGCTGACACTGCTGATTTGCACATCCCGAAGCTTTTTTTTGGGAAGGTCTGCGGAACATCGTCTTCCTCTACCCCCAGCCCAAAGTCTACATCCTGGCAATAGACCAACCGCAGGCAGGAATGAGTTCAAAATCAAGGTCTGATTTCTGCAGATCAGGCACATCCTTATATAAAACTGAAAGCATCGGTGTGCTGCAGTACTGAGGGACGTGACAGCCAGGGCGCAGCCACGTCCCAGGGCAAGACTGAGTCGGCGCCTGGGAGTTACTCACAGACACGGAGACTGAGTGGTATCAAAGCTTGATGTCCAGACAAGAAGCCAGGGTGGAAATTTTGTCTTTCACTGCATCGCTACTTTCAGCACAGAGGTAAACGCAGACATACACATGGAGGTGTGACACGAAGGGAAGTTTCCAGGAGGTGGGGAAAGACCAGCATCTTGGCTAGTCTCATCCTAAGGGTTACTTACTGAGTCTAACCTGAGATCCTACGTGAAATGAATTTGGATGGATTTGGCTTTGCTTTAAGTAGTCTGCAATCCACGTCACAGAAAGTACAACACTAAGCTATTACGCTGAATTTGGCACGATTGGCAGTTTCTGCCCGGGAGAGGCAGCGACTGAGTTAACGTGGGCACAACCAGCTCACCAGACCCTCAGAAGTGGTCCTCCAAGCCAGACCTACAGTGTCCTCGGTGGGTCAGTTCAGGAGACTCGACACTTTCAGGAAACGACACTAATCAGTGAGTGAAGAGGACTTCAAAGGGCTGCTAGTCCTTTCAACATAATCCCACCCAAATATGCCAAGATGTAAATGTGATGCAAACACAGAGAAACGTGTGGAATTTCACAAAGGAAGAACTTTTTTAAGATTAAAAAATAAAGTGTGATGCAAAAAAGTAATAATGTTCAAAGCACCTCTTAAGAATATCTCTCATTTAACAGCAATGCTGAAATCTTACATTTTGATTTCTTTTGCCTGAAAAGTCTTCAGCCATGGAAATTGCATAGTCACCAGACAACAGATGAATTTCCTGGGTTCAGTCACAAGTTCATGCCATTTTTGGTTGCTTGATGGCTTAACAGAAACTTTTTTTCCCTTTTTAAGAATGAAATAATCAGAATGATGAGAATGATAAGTGTACACAACTGCACAGGCCGGAGAAGCACATAGGTGACAGCTCCCACCCGTGACCCTCAGACCCACTTACAATAAGCTGCTGCCACTCCCCAGATCACCTTTCTCCCCAAAAGATGCTATTTAAGCAGCTTTTTGTGGACACTCAGTTCAAACTGAAAAGCTAGGGGGGGAAGAGAGGAAGAAGCAGCAGTGGGCGGCAGCGTAACATCGCTTTCAGGAGATGCAGCATGCAATGCTTATGCCTTTGTGAGGCCTTTTCTCTGGACAGCCGGGGTGGGCGAGTTTATCCTCCCCTGGAGAAGCAGCAAGCCTGGAGAGCAGCCTGCTTTTCTCTTCTGAATCACTGATGCGTGCGCTGTTTCTGAAATGAAGTCCTTGGCCACAGAGCTCCTTTCGTTGCCTTATTTCACCCACCTTGCATACTCCGTGTGTGTGCTTTGAAAGTTTTCCACCTCCTGCGCCTCGGTGGGGTTTCGGGGATTATATGACCGCATTGTTATCAACTGTTTTGTTGTTCTGGGAGGAGGTCATTGCATATTCAGCCCGACTGGTTCCGTTCTCTTCTTTTCTCATTGGTTTCCTTGGATGATCCCAGGTTCAGTGATGTATGGCAGGGTGGGGGAGAAGAAAGGACAAGATAAACATCTTCTTTGTCAATACAGATTGAAAGCAAGGACATGTAAGGTAACACTGAACTTTTCCTCTCTATTTTTCCCTCTGAACACAGGTCAAACCAGCAGTTAAATTTTGTCAAGCCTTGTGATCCACCTGGAAAATGAGGGGCCTGGTCCTAAGACCTGTTCAAGGCCCTAAGCACCTATAGAGACACAGGTGTGTAGGTTGCAATGAGACAAAGCTGCTGGAAGGAGAGCCCTCCACCACCACTTTCATCCCTGGAATGGAGACTTGGGCTCTGCCGCGGCGGAGTCCTGGCCCTTTCTCCTTGTAGTGCAACGTCATGCAGATTGGGATGATGACCAGTCGTGTGCACTGAGGACCTGACTCACTCACCAGCCATCATAAAACCACCATGTTTGGTCACTAGGAGAGGACTCATCTGACCAGTATAGACATGTACATCTGTGGTGACCACCCCAGACCACCTTCACATTCAATGGAGAGAAATAGCTGCTTTTAAAACACAGAACAGCTTAAAGTGGATACCTAAAATAAGTCAGATGCTTTGTGCCCAAGGCATTTGTGTTTCTCTGCACTGTCTGTGAAGGAAGGCTAGTTCATCAGCCTAGACACAGTTGTCCCTGTTCCAGGTGTCTGAGTGAGTGACTGAAACATGGTGCCTGCTGTGATCTACCTGTCCCCCAGCACCAGCCCTTTTTTATTTTGTTTGGTGGCCACTGGCACCATTTGGTAACACAGGCCAGGGCCAGCAATGCTAATGGCGAGGCAATTCAGGAAATGCTCAGCAAGTGCAGAAATCTAACAAGCATCTGCACATCATATTAAAAAATGAGCTTATTTGGGATTTTAAAGTGATGCTGAAAAGGGAGACCTGAGCCGGAGTCCTGTGACAGACCATGTTACATCATGTGTGTGCTGGTTTTAGTGTTTCCCCCCCAACTTCTCTCCTCAACAGTGGTGTGACCTTTACTCAAAGCTGAAGCTGTACAAACAGTGGGAGGAAAAAGCTCTGTGCTTTCCACACGGATATTTCAGACATTAGTGCTTCGCTTTTAAGGTGCGTCTGAGAGCAAGAAGAGAACCAGATAAACAAATGTAATACGACAGTCAGTCTATGCTATAGTTCTTGACACCACTTAACAAAACAAACAATTAATACAAAGATAGGTAATGGCAATGAATTTCAGCAAAGTGTTAGTGAAAGATTTATGGAGAGTTATTACAGGAAGATCAGTCTGGTTTGCTTGTGATCTCAGAAAAATCCTTCTGATTGTGACACTTTACACCGCTCTTTAGCTAGGAACAGTTAAGGCTTTTTAATATTAGCTGTGATTCCAGCTGTTAAGAGAATGGAAGTGGAAGGGAAGGGCAGACTAAGAGCTTTGTTGAACCCTGTCTCAGCCATTAACATGCTGTGCCTGTCTGTATGTGACACAAGCTGCTGCAGCTCTGTCTTCCATGGCACTGTAAAGCACCATCCACCCCACCATATCCCTGGCAAGGTATGTAGACTCTGACGGTGATACTTCCCTTTTTTGTTTCCTGGGCTGGAAAAACGGTATGGCTGTGTTTAAACTTCCCTGCTGCTTTCGAAAATTCCTTTGTTTTTCTCCCTCCCCATCACCCCTCCCCTGCCCAGTTCCAACCCTTACAATCAGCTCTATGAATGGTCAAAAAAATGAAGACATTTGGGCCACTTCTTGCTGTCTGTTTGTCCCCTGTTTACCCCTTCTTTCCATATTTGGGTCTACTATGTGTTTCTGCACCTCTCAGTTCCATTTCCTTTCCCTGTCTAGCTTTCCTCTTCTTTCTTCATGTTAAGTAATGTCTTCCTCTCATTTTTATATACATTTATCTTTTTTTTACAAGTGATTTCAACACCAACTTCTTCAGTCCTCCTGAAACACTTTTTCCTTTCCTCCCCCTTTCCTTGCTTCAGTTTCTCTTCCCCAGAGCAGCCGTTTGCTCCTTCCCCTCCCCAGGCTGGTCTTCCAGCACAGAACTGGGAAGTTTGGAGACTCTCCTCCGATGGTGAGACCTTTCTGGAGACACGGCTGGAGAGGTTTATTACACCACTGGTACTAGCACGCATTAGAGGTGTATTTTTTCAGAGCCTACAAATAGTGAAATAGAGAATTTATCAGGGTTCTGCTTCTGCCTCATCAACTGCTCAGGGTTAGTGCAAGCAAAACAGAGCAACTACTTTTCTGGGTCAGTGAAATGGCCATTTATTTATCTATTCATTTTTGGCCGACACAAAAGTTCAGGCTTGGAGAATGCTCCAACTCCTTTACTCAATTTATTTCCAAATGCATGTCAGGCATGGATTTGAGGTCAAACTTGCCTCAGTTACGCTGTTTAAATGACTGGCTTGATAGACTTGTATGCGCTTGTTAGAGTGTTTAAAACTGATCTATGTATTTAGATATGCAAAGTCATTTTGGCCTGTTGTGATTTTTCAACTGCCCTTTTGCACTAGAGCACTAGCTCTTTTTGTGCCATTAGCTCTGTGTGTCACTAGCTCTTTTTTACCTCAAATTTTATCCACTGTTGAGATCCAAGAATGCAAGTTTTCCTCTTAACACACCAAGGGGAGCCCTTTTATCCCATTTTCTGCCTGATAAGCTAGGTTATGCATGATCTTCCTACATGTAATACTCCAAGCCCCCTTTCAGCTGAAGTGTGGTGGCCCTGTATTTATGCCTTTCAGTTCCAGGGTTGCTCTTCATTGGTGAAAGCCATGTTTCAAATTAGTGAGGGAATGAGTAGGGAACTGTTCGTATCTGTGGCATACTCACTTGGTGGCAGGCGAAACAGGGTGTTTGCTAACAAGTGCTTGCATTGCTTTACAGTATGATTTGCTACACATTGTGCTTTGATGTTTAGCAAACAAATTGCTGCACTCTTCTTGCCAAACATCTGCGAATGAAAGGTACATGCAACTCTGTACAGCTTAGTACACGCCTGAAATGATGCGTCAGGGTCCGTAATGACCTCTCCACCATGCATGCATTAATTTGCGTGAGTCCTAAAATCAAGAAAGCATCAAACAGCCATTTAATAGTGTATTTCACACATCAAGCTTCAATTTCAGATGATGTTCTCATCACAGTATAAATCTTATATACCAAAGGAATTCATATTGGCTTGTCATATCAGCTCGTACCAGTTTTCTGTAGTGTCCTGTGTAAAGATCAATGTAACAATGCACAGTCAAACATAATTCGTATGTTCTGTCATTAGAAAATTTCTTAGAGGAGATGGATTTTGGCCCTTGATGATGTTTAATCACAACACTCAGCATATTTGACAAAACCTTCCCTGCCAGCTTTGGCTACTGGTGTAAATTTGATATAGACCTACTGTCTGTAAGGCAGTAGTGCAGCAGAGTACCAGGGGAGGATTTCACCTTGTGTGTCACTTGTACACACTTAAGAAAATCTCTATGTATACCTTCTCAGACAAAACCAAGCAAAAACTGAGCAGACCATTTAATTGGGACCGTATTATGCCTCATTACTTACAGGCTTATTGAAGCTTTGAGAATAAGATCACCTAGAAATGGGAAGAGAAGTTTAGTCCAGAAGAGTAAACTGCAACAGAGTTTAAAAGCCACAACGCAGTCCACGTGTTCATACTCTTCAAGGTGCTTTGCACATGGAAGGGATGAGAGTTAAGAATAAAACCTGATTTCGTAAGACAAGCCTGAGCGTTGCAAACCTGTTTTTTACTGCCTACCTCCACAGCAATGTTTCTGCTGAGTGCCAGTGCACCACAGCCAGCATCTGGGAAGGCTGGGCCCCAGGGAAACCCAGCTAAACTGGGAGGGGGTGACCTTGGGCTGGTAGCAGAGGAATGAAGGGATCTTAAATTCCCCTCTTTCTGGGGCTCCCATACCTGATTCAGCACTGCCAGGAGACTCCTGTCTCCACACGTGATTTGCTGCCCTGGATTATTCTCTGAGGGAAACACCTATCCTGTTTCATAGAGAACAGGAATAGTGTGTCATTCTTCTTCTAAAATGCAGTTAGAGGATGAAAGGCCACTTTGCCCTCCCTGCTGTGTGTCGTTAGAGGAGATGCCCAGTGCTCAGAAGACCACACTGCAACTCCACTGTTTCCTGAGCACTGGTACAAAATTTTAAAATGTAGTTAAAAGGCACCTGCAAAAAATATGTGTCAAAGGATTACATTGTATGGGTATCCATATCAACTGGTAAAAGATTTTACCAAGTGTGAAAGCTGTGAGGCATCTCCGTTCTGCCACTGCACAGCTGTACCTGTGACAATCAACAAGATACCTGTGCCATAAAATTGTTTTGTGTTTTCAGTTCCCCTCATGAAGGTGCTTGTAGTAACACATAAAGAACTTGTCTTTCCTCCCAAAGCAGTTTCACCTCAAGGTGTCTCCTTCCGTGAACAAAGCTCCAAGCTCTGTGGGCAGCCCCACTTCTGCATGTCACAGAGCAGGGCTGTGCGATGGGGAAAGCTGAGCGGCCGGCGAGCTGCTCGACTGGTGAGCATCACTGAGCCCACTGCCCCCCCCAAGCGCCTGCCGATCCCTGGGGCAAAGCGGCAGAAAGGAAGAGGCAAATCAGAGCACTGAAAATGTATCACTTATACGTGCAACGACTTCAAAGCTCTTCTCCATACTGATGAATATTTCATTAGCTATCAACACATAAAAATTAATGATTTTCAGTAAAACTGGGTCTCATACAACACATTTGCTTCATAGGTTTGGTCTGTCCTGACGTGCTCCCAGTGCACAGCAGAAATATCAAAGCTACCTATATACCAGTAAAGATCCCACAGCAGCAGCATCTTCCTGGGTTACAAAGTTGTCCAAGAAAGAGCGTAAATACCTAGTAGGTATATTTTCACTCAGCTTCATCTCCTGGGGTAGGATGCTAGCAGTACCTGTGGCAGCTATGTTTAGAGC